TGTGCTACAGTAGTTAGTGTAGCAATGGATTTTTCCATCCCCTGTGTATTGCTCCAGGCTTTTCCCACAACTTTCATGTAATTTATGTGTTGAGATTATTTTTCTGGCTTAAGTTCCATGTTTTTGATAATCAGTGTATTGTAGAAAAGTGTGTACTGGAAGCTTGCATAATGCTCTTCTTTCCAGCAAGTGACTTCTTTGTGTCCTGCTTGGCCTGCTTCTGGTCTAGCACTGATGCTTTGCTGTAAATGTCTGCCTCCCACTGAGACAGAAGCACACTATTTATCAGAAATAACTAGACCTTTTGTTAATGGAGAATTCACCACCATTCTTTGCCTTGACTCCAGAAAATAATATTACTTTAGCTTTTCAATTGACTTGATAAGAGTGTTTCCCATCTTCAGTTTCTGACAAACACACAAATCTGTTTCTGTGTTTGGGTTGCTGTCAGGGAATATGACAAAAGCTGGTCTTGCCTATCAGTAATTGTTTTGGATGTTCCCTTTCTCCTGAAGCAATTGTGAAATTTTCAGAGGGACAGTGCCTCTGTCTTCTATTGTTAAGTCGGGACTATAATCATTATTCCACCAGCTGAATGAAAAATGTGATTTTTTTTTTAAAAGTGGGTAGCACATGCCTGATTTGAGGACGACTCCATGAACTGCTTTGCAGGAGCCTTTCTGTCTCCTCTTCTGGTTGGTTTTGGAGACACTGTTTGTTTTATTCCCTGCTGTGCAGTTTTTGTGTCTGTGGGCTGGTCATTCATAGATTCTGTCTGAGCAGAGGGCTTGGAGGAAGGAGTTCAATGAGTGTATCTGGACTGTGTGCTAACTTCAGGTGTGAGGGTTCATGGCAGTCTGGTTTTGAATTTGTAACCTGTTCACCATGTTTGCTTCTAAACACTGTTGTTATTAATCCATTAGCTCTGAGATCTTAACAAGTAGCTTACTTTTTCTTCAGGAGAAAACCTCTCCTGAAAATGCAGCGTCGCTATTGTCCATGGAGAGAACTGTGTAGCTCCTCATGATGTTTCAGAGAAGGGTTTTAGCAAACCATCCTTGCATTAAAACCAGGAAATAGACACCTGATGTAAAGTAACCTTTGACACTGTTTCTCTGATGTGCTCATCTCTTGCTGGGGAATGTTGTCTTGGCTGAAGTCTCTGATGTGCAGCTGGTGGTAACAGCCAAACACAAAAGGTTAGCAGCTCTCACTGTGGAAGACCTGTGCTGACTGCAGTAACTTTCCTCAAGATCCACAGATGCACACAGAGCTTGGAAATACCACTAAAGCACCAGCAGCTTGGATTTCAGTTTGTAAGCATCCCCAGTATAATGCAGAGAAAGTTTTAGTTGGACACAAAAATAATGAAATGCTTCAAAGTCCTATCTTCTTTTGCTCCTGAGCAAAACTCAGGCAAGTTGTGGGAATGTGCTTGTGCTGGAAACAGTCTGAACCTATGATCACTCTCAGTAAGTTGCCAGTTTTAATCAAATCCAAAATAAATGAGGTGCTTTAAATCATTCTGAAGTTGCTCATAGAAGATAGGATTGTCCCATATTTCCTGAACATTATACATTATAATCATGACTACATGATTATAAACATGAGTGGATTTCTTTATAGTTTGTTAATCCTGGCATCCTGGACTTCCACTAAGTAATTTAAGACCAAATCAAAATCCACACTAACTAACATAAAGGTTTGTTTGGATATTACTGATGACTTTTCTTTATTCAGAAGGGGAGAAAATTTAAAGTCTGAAGAGCATTTGCATAGTGGATGTTTTTAGGATAACCTGCAGCAATTTTTTAAAATTGTATTTTCAGGAAATGAAAAAAAAAACTTATCTGGATAATTAATGCTTGAGTATCTGAGTTTGAAATTAAATAGTGTATTTACTGCTAGCAAAGTGTTTAAGGCGTACTTCCATGATCAGTTCAGGCAGCTTTTACGCTGCTTCTCCTCCAGTGGAATCATATTCAAGGATGTCTTTGTTTCAGCAGCGTTTTGTTCAGCTTTTGTTTCATGTGAATTGCACAAAGCTTTCTTAGAAACAGTATTTTGTACTTTAAAAAGGGAATGAGTCTGAAATAGTCTCTGATTAGTAGAATGTGCTACGTATAGCTGTACTTTGAAGCAGCAGAGTGTTTATGCTTAGGAAATGCATCTTTAAAACCATTTTCTCTCCCATAACTGTGCTATTTAATATAATAGCACATATAATATATAATATATATAATACATATATTATATATGTTATAATATATATTATATATTTTATATATATAATATATTTTATTTGCTATTTAAGCAAATCATCTTTTAAATAGAAAAATAGGTGAGAGTGTGTGTTTGAGGTTTTGAGTTGAATTGTAGAGGCAGGTGTGTGACCATTGAAATGTTTTAGGAACTGGATTCTACTTGCCCGTGGAGACCAGGCTGTGGCTGTAAGCAGGGTGTTTCACTCTCCCTGTGATCTCAGTATGGTGCTTCAGAAACATGGGTGGCTTTCATATCTTGGCTTTTATTGTTAGGCTGTTTTGGATTCTCTTTCATTTACCAGAATGTTTTAGGGTGATACATGGCACTTGCACACCTTTGTTTCCTGGAGGAAATTCATTCTCTAGGGCATTTGTTAGTGAGATCGTATCAGACTAAACACCTTGTGCTTCATGAGAACAATTTGTCCTCTTAACTACAAGGGTATGATATGGAGCAGTAGTTATGTTATGGGGAGACTGCCTTTGAAAGGATGAAAAATGTGTTGAAAGGAGGTAAAAATGTCACTTGACTTACTGGTGAAATTCTGAAGCAAAATCGTCTGTTACCAATCAGGCTCATTAACAGTGAAGGGAGAAGAAAAAATGTGTTTCCGTGGAACATAAGAACATTCTGGCTGATAAATATTTTCTCCCTCCAAACACTTCTGCTTTTACAAAACAGCAGTATTACACTGCCCGCATACCCATGAAGCTTAAACTCCTAAATACAGATTTTGCCTTCTTTGTTTTATTCCAGTTACTTTTAAGAAAATGTAAATCTATGTGCATATCACTTTTTGCTGCTTATGACAATAGCAGTGTTTGCTGCTAATGACTGAAACCAATCACATTTTTAATCTTGTGTCTTAGCTTCCCCACATATGAAACAAGAAAACTTCCAAACTCTACCTGTGTAGTAAGACCAATTATAATCTGTAAAATTCTGTAAGGAGAACTGATTTTTCTTTCTTATTAGGATATTTGCCTGCAGCTTCCTGTCTCAAAGCATGGTCCTATAGTATTTAATAAAATGAGATTGAGCTAATAAATTACTGGAAGTTTTTAAAGAGAGCTTCATTTTTGGAGTAGAAATCTACTATCTATTACTTGAATGACATTGAGGGATGATGGAAGTTTTTTGCCTATCTAAAGCGGTTTTCATTAATACATCAGAATAAGGAATTGGTTTTTTTTTTTGGCAGAGAAAACAAAATCCAGTACAAAAAAATCAGACTGAGAGGTTGAATTCACTATCTTATTTCTGCCCCTCTCCATTTTGTTTCATAAAAAAGGATCAAGTTGTAAAAAATCAATTGGGGATTAAGGTTTGTTTGCAAAATAATATTAGCCTGCACTCACAGCAGAAGCATTCATGGATTGGTTTCTTCATTTTACTTGGTGGAAATATAATTCATGTGGTGTTTTGCATATAGCAGGTACATGCAAGTGTAGACTAAAAGGCATTTCTAGTTGTTCCACTCCATCTTCTACTATTGATACAACCAAAGAATGAAACTGTTTTCATATAGATAATGTTATCCACAATACTGTTTAGATCTGGTAGAAATTCTTTGCCAGAATTGTTCTGTTGTTTCTATTTTACTTTGTAGCACTGTAGATCAAGAATATTAAAGACTAAAATTTCTTGGGTTACAGGTGTTAAACAGTGTAATTTTCCTTACAGTTGCATGTTAGCATGAGGAAAAGCCTCCTGCTATAGGAGAAGGCAGACAGGGAGCAGGAATGCCCTGCAGCTCTGTGTTCCCAGCTGATCTGCAGGGGGCAGAGGGATGCAAAATCCACTGATTCATCACCGTGCTCCTCTGCATGCAGGAGGCTGCCACTGCAGCTGAGTGTATGCCTAAAATGATAAAGGGATTGTCAACATAAGCTTAATTTGAAATCTCTGTTACTTTGAGAGAATAGCCTTTTACTGGTTTTACAAAATTTGACAGGCTGAGTTTGAGAAGCTGTTGTTTAGGATTAGGGATCAGGGTCAAACAAGGATGAGATGTTTCCTTGGAAGAAGTTAAATGCTTCACTGTACCCGTGTTTATTTTTAGAGTGAAATTGCTTTATGACTTCCTAATGAGCTTAAAAGTTGACAAGGATTTAAAGCTGTGTCTTGAAATACAGCTGAACACTGAGAGATGTCACATTAGCTATTCTGTAATACAACAGTCCAAGCCAATAGCAAGCAATTTCAGTGTACTGTTTATCTGTCTGATTAGAATTGCTATCCCCCTAGTTAATATTAATAGAAAGCAAAGTTTCTGTTTAAGGTACCCTATGTTTCCTTATTCAAGACAAGTGTGAAGAAATATCAGCAGATATCCTGCCTTGCATTTTGAATTGTCAGGAGGAAAGGGAGCCGCTGCTGTGTTGTGATTGTTTGTGCTGCTTTCCCATTGATCAGCTAAACTGACAATCAGCTCCAGTGTCCCAAGCAATGTGGTTTAGAATAATCAGAAATAAAAGCTATTTATCAGCAAATAGTGATATCACTGAGTGTCAGTGCAGTTCAAAATGTGGTTTAACAGCAGATTTCCTGCAGGAAAAGGCCAATCACGCCTTTCTTGTACAATACAAATAATCTTGTGATGGGCTTAGCATCTCTTCAAGACTCACAGAAAGGTCTATGGTGTTTTCCAATGAGATGCTGGGATAATGTCCATTTCCATTTCCTAGTGTTTTCAGCCATCCTAAAACTGAAAGCAAATGAAGAATCCCAAGGGGATGACCTTCTTCAGGGCAGCTGAAGATGAATCAGTGTGTCCAGCATGAACAGTCTTGTCTTATTTCCTTGTCTTTATCCACCTTAGATCTAATAGAGATGGTGATATCTGCTTTGCTGGTAGCAGCAGCATATCTGTGTGTGTGTGTGAACATAATCATTCTGCATTTAAAAACGAAAATGGAAACTTATAGAACTGTTAAATCTGAATCAAATACCTGTTAAAACATGTGAAAGTCACCATGTGCTTCTGGTTGCTCCACCACAAACTTGATGGAAATTGTTTTTGTTAGTTTGTTTTCTCCATTGATGTATCTTGTTTGTTTGACATCGGGCTGTTTTTTTGCCATTGGGGTTGTATCACTGTAAGAAAATGCAGAAGTGAGATTTAAAGAAAGCTTCAAAGAAAGATAAAGGTTACTTTGAAAAATTACTTCTAAAATTCAGTGAAATTTAGTTACATAATTAGTTTAGTTACCTTGACACAACTTGTCATGTAAAAACTTCTGTGTGAGAAAAGTGGAGTATTTTGGATGCATATAAGTAATGGACATTTTGGGATAACTGAACTATAATCACTTTGTAAATCAGCAATCCTTAAAAGATCAATTAAGTGTTATGATTTCTATTGGTACCATTCAATAAATGAAATATTTTATTTAATGAATAATGAAAAGGGGAGTGACTTAATAGTTTTTTTTTTAACTCAGGACATGAGATGAGATAGTCACTAAAGGTCTAAGTACTCTTTGTTTTCTTAATAGTACACTTTATTGAAGACTGTTGTTGATCATTAATTCTTCTATAAGTCCTTAAAGGCTTCCACTGTTTTCAGCAGCCTTTGCTTGCTCTTTGTATCACAAGTAATGCCCATTAACTGGCAAAGTTAGTCTGTGTGGGACTGAAGGTACTTCTAAAGGTGAAAAAGGGAAACACCATATTTGCCAGAATCTAAAATACCTTTTAGAACTTGCCAGGCAGCTTCTGCACTTATGTACCTCAATTGCTTTCTTAAAATCTATTAATTGTTTTTTTTTTTTAATGTCCTCTTTCCCTCAGGACTCTATTAAGTGGCTTCCCAAGTCTCCTAAACTGTACAGTGGCCACAACTGGAGTTCCCAGGGTTCTCGCTGGGCCTCATTGAAAGGAAAGGAGGGTTTGCATGGTGGTAACCTGTACAAATTCAGCTCTGCTAATGGAAAATGGAGAGAAGGAAGGATCAGTCCTGAGCAAGAAGCAGAGGAACTCGAGGATCCTGATGATGTAAGTAGTCTTGAAATTAGGGGAGACAGTGTGTATCTATGAAGAGGCTACAGCTGCTCACACTGCTGTGCAGCCAAGCACTTTGGGTTTGTGAGACCTGCACTGCTTATACTCTCATGTCCTTGCTTGTGCAGAGGCTACAGAGCTATGTTCAATGTTTCATTCCTTCACTTTGCTTGCAGTTAATCTATCCAGCCCTCGAGAGTAGAGTTCAATCTGCAGGTTAAGATGAGTAACCTGAGCAATGATGAGGCACATTTTTACTTTACTCCTACTTATATCCCCAGTTACCAGGCTCCCTCCATCTCTTTCAGGTGAGGAGGTTGTTGGCAGCACTTGGGGCTCAGTGTCTGCCTAGGCCTGGATGGTAGAAAAGTGAGGCTGCAGTGCTTCTCCCTGCATGTTTGTTTTGGGTGGTGCTCTTACAGGGAGCTTATGTCTGTGAGCCCCTGCCTGCTGTAGTTTCTCCAGCCTGTGCCTGCCGGGTATCTGTCACCTGTACTGCAGTCTGGCAGTCCTCTTGGTCCTAGCCTGGGAAAAGGAGGTGGTGATTGCACTCTTGCAACCTTTCAGGACATTGCTCACCATTCTTCCTGATGTTTTCTGGGACATTAGGGAGGAATTGGGGCTCCTGCTTCTCTTCCAGGACCTCTGCTTCCTTCCTAGTCCCTGTGAGTGCTGCTGGTGTGCCCCTTCCTCCAGCCCATAGTCCTGGCTCTTGCTCATGGCCTTCTTCCCTGGCAGCCCCAGTACTGCAGACGTGTCCAGGTTAGTCAGCCTGGTGCTGTAAAGGGAAATCTCTCTCAAAAAGAGACAAACATTTTGTTTTATAGAGATAAACATAATGTTTTATGTTAGACAAAGCTGAGCAAATTCCCTTTTAAGTGAAAATGGGAAGCAGTCATGCCTTGTATGCTTTTTCTTGGGGTTGGCAGTGCTTCTTTCCATCCCAACCAAAAAGAGATTGTGGGAAAGTGCCAATATAGATTGAAAAATAAAGTGTCCAGTGGGATTCTGCACAGCTGTTCAAGGTAATGCCATGCTTTTTATTTTGGTATTAAACTTACATGCTTAGAAAAACACTTATGGGGTTTGTTTTCAGAGGTGTTGATGTGTGTTTGCTGCATCATTTTACTGCCAATAGAAAACAGAAGGATTTGGGAAATATGAAGATCTGATTTGACCTTAACCCATCAAATTAAGGAGCAAAAATCAGCTGAATATAAGTAAAGCATTTCTAAAATGTGAACAGAATTTGGGCATTGTGTCTGAATTTAATTTAACCCTTTGCCAGGAATAACTGATAGCTGGAAAACTATGTTTTGCAGTCAAACTTGTCTGAAGCTTTAATTGTTTGGTGAATGTCTTTTAGATGTGTATTTCTCTTTTCAGGCCCTTGTGGTTTAGCCAACCATAGGGTGACCTTGTGAGCTCCTCACTGCATCTTGGAGTAGGTTCACCCTAGGGCCAGGCTTCAGAGTAGGCTTTAATATGCATCACCTTTCAGGTTCCATTTCCAGAGGACTCCTAAATCACTTAAGTTTGCAGGTCTCCACTCACTGCCATTTGCAGCTAAAGTCAATCCAATGACTGAAACAGTCTTAAATATGTAGATGCAAGGTAGTGGCTTGCCTTCCCCCTCACACCTATGCTCTCAAAAATGGAATGTGAGTTTTGGGGAACTATGAGAAACGTTTTGTTTTCTGTATGGAAATATCTTTCATTTGCCTTGTGTGTGTGGTTTCTTCCCCCAGAACAGTGGATTCAGTACTACAGAGCTGCCAGAGGCTGCCCAGCATAGTCTTGTTCTCATCTCTGCCATTTTTGTAGGGCATTGCAGGATTTATGCAAATGTGGATATGTGTGTATTACATGTGCTTCTGTGTGCCAGGGAATCTAGTGAAAGACTATATGAAATCCCAGTCCTCTCCCTCTTCCCACAGTTTCAACCCCAGTGTTGAGGGGAAACATGCCCATGGTAAAATGGTAAATAATGGTAAAAAAAAATCTTTGTATGTTTGCCGTAAAGTTCTGGTTTTGTCTTAAGTGAAGTAAGTTCTATCATAAGCAATGTGAGAGTCAGAAATGAATTCATGTTAGGGTGGGGAAGGCCTGTGTTTCAGATTCTCCTTGTTGTTACCTTTTTTATCTTTAACCCTCAGGAACCTATTTCCAAGTTTTCCGGCAGCCTTTTTGATAGAAGTGATAGCATGCGAGATCAAAGAAATACCAGAACAACGCTTCAAGAAAAGCACAAGTTGGCAGTGAAAGGGAAGACTCTTCCAGGATCTAACACCAAGGTGCAGCCACCTGTGTCAGCAGCAGGCAGCTTCCCCAGCGAGAGCGGCCGGGTCGCGGAGGAGCTGCGGGTGCGGGATGTGCCGCAGCCCCCGCTGAAGGTTTGGAACTGCTGCGTGGGCTGGGCTTGCTGCTGGGGGGCTCTGCAGGTCTGGGGGGCAGTCCCTGTGTCTGTGGGGAACTCCTCTTGGGTGAGGAAGTTTACAAAAGATACGAAGACAGGGGGACATTGCATGGCAGATGTGATGAGGCTTACCTTAAAGAAGGCTTTATTTGGAAGAAGAGTTTCCCATTAAAAAACCCCAACAAAGCCCACTTTCCTTGTAGCCATGCATCTCACTTTATATATCCAGCTTTGGTATTGTGAGGATAAGTCAGAGGTACGTGCAAGTGGGCACTGAGTCTTCATTCAATCTACGTTTTCGAAGCTGTGGTGACAAGTCTTGCACGTGCCAGTGTTGAAGTGTAGCACCATTTTTCTCTGGGCTGGGCTCTCCAGGGGCATGTCTGCTGGTGTTCAGAGTGGGAGGTAGATTTTCAATGCTCACACAATTAAAAGACAGTATTTTTGATTAATCAGGTCACTTACCCATTATAATTCTTTTCCAGGTAACCATTACTGTGTGCAGTCAAATGGGGAGTCTTGGTATTAGCATTGCTGGTGGAAAGGGCTCATCTTCATGTAAAGAAAGTGATGAGGTGCATTTCATTATTCAAAATTTGTCTAGTGATCGTTAGGAATAGACTGATGAGTAGTTCCTTGAGTTATTGTGTTTTGTTGTTTGCTTTCTGAGATTGTTCTTCATGTAACATTTCCGTCTTTGTAAAGCTAACAAGGGTAAACATAGGTAGCTTAATTCCCAAAGTAGGATCTGTCATTATATTTTGATGGGAAGCTCCAGAAGGGATGATTTGGGAGACATACCCAAATGTAAACCAAGGATTTTGCAAAGGCAACCTGATGGCTGAAACACTGTTTTCTAATTCTTATTTTTTGCCTCAATTTGGGGTCTCTCCCTTGGCAATCCACATGCCTTCCCATCTCATTTGCTCATCCCCAGGAGCTAACTTAATTTGAGAGAAATATTTCACACATTTTCCCACTGATTTATCTTTTAAATGAATCTTTTCAGACTGTTTTTCAGTCTGTTCCCTATGGCACAATGTAAACAATTACTGACTTTTGTTCATTGTTGTATGTGTCAGCCATGGAGGCTTTTTTTTTTTTTTTTGTCTCGCAAATGTGCTAAGCCATTTAGTTTTTAATTTTATGGAGGCAACAGAACAATAACTCTTGAAAATTAATTACTTCCCAATTGCTTTTTACATCTAAGAACAATGGGAGAAACTGTAATTTCTGAAACCTATATTTTGTGTTACCAGGGGATCCTGATTGCACGGCTGCCAAAAGATGGTCCATCAGACTTGGCTGGGGTACAAGCAGGAGACAGAGTGGCTGAGGTAGATGGGTTGTTTGTCACTGTGGAGTGTGTTCTCTTGTTGTTGTCTTTAAATCAAATCACTCAGAGTTGGGGAACTTGAGATCCAGATCTAGGCTTGCCTTAGCCTTTTAGATACTTGCCATTATGAAGAAATGATAATAACATTAAATTGTTGTATTCCTTTGTATGTTCTGGTTGTCAGATCTTTATGTTCAAAGTGCTTAACTAAATATTATTTACAAAGGAAAATAATGATCTTAGTAAGTAGTTATGTAAGCATAAATGCAGCTGTACTTGATCCAAGAAGCTTTCTTGTGACATGGTATTAGATTTACTAGATGAGTTCATTGCAGTTGCAACAAAGAAATAGAAACTAGATGAGCTTGTTTCCCCAAGGTAATTTTTGGTGGGAAGAGAACAGCTCAAAATAACTCCCCTGATGGAGGCTTGCAGTGCCAAGTGACAAGGGATAAATGTGTCTTGGGCTGCTCCACCTCAAGCCTCATCTCTCCTAGCAGAAGCCACATTCTTGAGCTTCAGAATTTCCCAAGACAACAGGAAAAAAATGCTCACATAGAGTTTTGTGTTACATGCTTTTGATGTACTGTTTGGTTTCTACCTGCTGAGAATGGTGGAGTAGGAAGAGAACCTCTACAAAATCACTTTGAGGTGAAACCAGTCTACATTTTTTTCAGCTCTTGTTCTGTTAAACTGTCATTTATACTTGGTTAGATTAATAGTTTTCACTCCAGCATGCTCCATGTTGAATTAAGGTGGACTGGAGCAAGCAATATTGTATGTCTGTTAAATTGTCAGGAATAATGATACAACCTGTATCAGCCAAAGAATATTTTATGATAAATTACTATTTTTGTAAAACTATGCTATGGAATTATTAATAGATGGTGGTGTTCCATAACATATAAATATTTTGCTAGTTTAACAGTTCTTAAAAGGTTAATTTTAGATAATAATATGTATAATTTTACATTTTTCTTTTTTGAAAGGTATTTTAACAGATGTGAGAGAATTTAAATAATTCTCTGCATATTCCACATTATCAAATCATTGGGGAAAAAACCCAGGATTTTTAGTTGCTGTACCTTCTAAGCAGAGTTTCTGGTCAAGTTAGTATCTTAAAAATCAGCCCCATTGCTCAGATTTGTCCATGAGGCTATAATTAATTTTTTATTTTGGGGTATATTTGTAATATACTAGGTGTCAATGTCTGCTCACTTAATCAACAGTGAAACAAGTGAAAAAAAGAAGAAATTTCTGTTCTACCCTGTTCTGCCCTGCTGTTATTGCACAAATAGTTAGGATTTCTCCATCTCCCACAAGATGGCAGAATCATTCATCTGTTTAAAGAATAGAGGAAACAAATCTCTGCTTTTTGTGTGTGTATGTGTCACAAGAAGGAATTAATGCAATGAGTTGTGCTATAGAAACACTAATGCTTTAAGCACAGGACTAATCTCTGTACAAATAGCAAGCATTTTTCTCTTAACACTGTGTGTTACAACTTCTTATCCTTGAACTGATAATTTCAACAGTTCAAATATAAAACTCACCAAAAATGGGAAGCAGAGAGAATTGCAATTTTATTTTACACAATGATTTTATTTTGTGTTTGTACAACCACATGTAACAGTAGGGCCAGGTGTTTGTATACTACCTTGAGAGGGAGGGAACTCCTTAAACAGCATTCAGAATAAAAATATATTTCTGGTGTTTTCTTTTAAAGGCAACCTTTGTTTCAGAACCTGCTGCCCTTGATGCTGGTCCTACTGAGGCTTCACCCAAGGGCAGCCCCTTCCCGACAGTCAACCATGTCATAACAGTAAGTAGGACAGCCCCAGTAAACAAGAAGTCACTCTTACCTAAGAAATTTGTGTTGTCTGTCGTTAATGCTAGCAAAGACTGGCACAGTACTCAACACATACCAAAGATCAGAGGCCCTACCAAGCGTTTGCATGGCTGTCACTGCAGCTGGGACATGGCTTCTGGAGGAGCTCAGCTCCTGGGTGAGCACCCACGTAGCAGAGCAGGGCTTTTGAAGCACTCTGGTTTGGGGACTTTAGGGTGGTGCCCATTCCCCCCAGTTTGAGTCATTATTCTGTTGTCTGGACTCTGTCTCCAGCTAATGGAAGGAAGGAGAAGCATTTCCAGGGTCCCTCTTTTAGGAGGGAGAGGGTGAACTGCTACCTGGAGGTGGCCATTTTCATCTTTTGCCTGGAAGTGGGATCTTGTGTCACAGGCTAAGACATTTAGGTGACTGATGAGAGAAAGCCTCCTGCACATGTCACAGAAAGAAACAGCTGAGCCTGCAGGGTGGCTTTTAGATATCCACTTTTTTGAACTTCTCTAGCAAGTTCAACTCTCTGAAGACCTACCCTAATCTTGGTCATCTATGTGCACAAATGAAACTATGGCTTTACTAGGAAGGATACAAGGTATCCTAGGATACCTCAGTATCCTACATACAAGGTCTACTAGGATACAAGGTATCTGAATAATTAAGGTCAAAAAGCATCTTACTTGTGTGGAGATAGAAGTACGGGGAAGCAACAACTGTTTCTGCTACAGAAAATGCCAGAGGAATGTTTTGTCTGATTCCTCTTGTTTCAGTCTTCAAAAAAATCTTTCTCCATGAATAACATTTACAACCCAGCTAATGACAAAAAATGAAAGTATGTATATTATATAAAAGACTATAATCAAAGAAGATATCAGTTTTTATTAACCATTTAGATAACTAAGGATTTGTTAGTTGACTGAAAAAGTCAGCAAATGGCTCATGCAACTGTTTTTTCTCTGGTTTCCTGTTCATCACTGTTTGTCAAGTGTTGAGCTACAATTTTTTTTCCATGAGATTGACTAAGAAAGGTTTTCCCTTCTATTAATTGCTTAAAGAAACTTATTTTGAGGCCTCCAGCCTCCAACATCATCTTCTGAAACATTTAGACGAGTTTTATTTTCCAGCTTAAAACACATCAGTTTGGGATTTTTTCTTTTTTTGTCCAGTTTTACCTGGTTGCTGTTTCTTACAGTCTTTATCAGTATTGCAGGAAGCATGAGGCTTCCTGTTAGAGGAACCACTGTTGAAAGGGTTCATTCATACATTAGTGGTGGCCTGGATCTGGTGCAGTAGTATCTCACTTCTAGTATTTTCATCCAAAAAATAAGAAATTATTGTATTTTTATGTGTATGCCTTCCTTTAAAGTTCTTCAGCTGTAGTGGGAGGAGGAGGAGGCAGATTAGACTGAGATGCTTAATATAGAGCAGAGTACTCAGAGGGAGTCAACTCCCTCAACTGAATATGTTCTGAATGTCAAAAGTAACTGATGTGCAAGTTCTTTTGTGAAGAAACATTTGTATTTCTGGTTTTGTTTCTTTTTTGAAATAAAATTCTTTGTGCTGTAGCAAATTATATGTTATTGCCTATAACCTGGAGCAGCATTCATCAATTTCAGGGATTACGGGCTTGTGGGGAGTATCCTGCTGAATTGGGACTGCTCAATTTCTCATCTGTGCTCACTCTGAAGTCCCTCTTACTCCTTAGTAACAGAAGGAAATCTTTACTATCTGAAAAATATTTAAAGCCTGGCTTCTCATGGAGGACTTGCTTTGCATGTTCAGATAAGCAGGTGGCAGTAGGACCTTGATGCAGAATCTTCTTCTGTGATAGGAATATAGGAAGGTTCATTTCCTCTGTGTCACTGGTCAGGTTTCAATAGAAGATGGTTGTCTGCATCAAGAGAGGGAAGGACTGAAGCATAATGGCAAAGAAACCAGAGACTCCTATTCCTATTCTGCAAAAATTGAGTATGTGCCAGATGGTGCCATCTTTCTTCTCCCTCTCTTCCATGTCATCATCCTGCCTTCCAGCAGATTCCGTCTTCATCTGTTCATTAGTATTGAATTTTTAAAAACATCCTCTTTGCATATGCTCTCTGTGATAATATTTGGTTTATTCTTGTTAACCACAGCCCACCCCATCTCTGAGCCTGCTGTTCTGGCATTACAACAGGCAACGCTGCTGCCAGGTTCAGGTTTCCTCTCTGTTTTCCACAGGCTTGGTTGCTCTAACTGCTGCTAAAAGGCTCATTTAATTGTTAACTCATCCAGCCAAACTCAATTTCAGACCCTTTGTGCCAGCTTTAAGATTTCATGACAGTGTGAATGACCAGTAATTAATTGGACAAACGAAATGTTCTTTCACAGTGAGTCATTGTTTTGCAAAGGAAAAATGAGAATCTTCCTTGGTTTTAATTATGATTCAGAATCTTGCTGACATGTAGATAGAGGCCTCAGAACTTTAATTACAAGTAGATAGTTTTTACATACAGTATTTTATAGACTTGCCTCAGTTATGCTAATCACACCTCTAAAATATGAAGACATATTTTACTTTATATATATATATATATGTATTTATGTATAATTATTTGAATTGAACTTAAAAAAAATCAGGGATATAAACACATAACCATGCTGACTTTAACAGAAGGAACTTTAACTTGAATTTTGGAGTCTTCATTTCTAGTTCTGTTATTATTTCCTATCCATTCTCTCAAGCATAGAGCCAACTCTTCACAGTCTTTTTCCATCATAAATATTTTCATTCAACCTCTGACTGATATTCCCAGAGGTTTTTGTCTGACTGAATGGAGAGTGTTGACAGATTTCAGCATCTTCTATAATTTCATAACATGCATCATCATCCCATCTTCTTTGACTCATTTTTGGAACTATCAATATAATAAGGATATTAGATACTTTGTAATTAATATCAAGTCTTCAAGATATTTTAATCTAGTATTTAACTTCAATTGTTAGCATATTATTTGGCTTAATTTTATGCCTCTGCCCTGGAAATTTCCTCAAATATAGATTTTTTGTATTGTTCACCAGGGTTACAAGTGTCACTGATACTGGGATTTTCAAGAAAGGTTAAAGTAAGAGTTACCAATTAAAAGTAATTGTGTGCATAAATAAATCAATAAATGGTGAAGCTTACAGTACTGAAAAAATCTGTAAAACTTCTTCAGGTTAAAAAAGCCAAGTGTTTTGGCTGCTCTGTTAAAAATGCAGAGATACCAAGTGTTTCTAAATCTGCTGAGAAAACAGACAAGTGCACTCAAACCTGTAACATGTATCAAAATGAAATCCTCTTGTGCCTGCAGGAAGTGCATAAGCAGATACACCATCTCCCACAGCATGCAGTTGCTGGTCTTCTGTCTTTGTCTCATATTGTTCATATGCAAGTTGTGAGAAACAGCATGCAGTTGCTGGTCTTCTGCCTTTGTCTCATATTGTTCATATGCAAGTTGTGAGAAATCTTACATGAATGAGCATCCCAGCAGATCTACCTTCTTCATTTCCAGCTGATAAAGACTTTTCAGGGAAAAACACTGACCCACTTACATTAGTTAAAAATCTGCAAAAATCTGATTATCAGACCCTGTATTCATCTGAGTATGTTCTAAACATATCAGAAAATTGAAATCATACAACATAAAATAAAACTTGTTTCTTCAGTCATTGTCTTTGTTCAATTTTAGGAAGAACTGCTTTTCCCTTCTCCAAAACATTTTCATGACTCTTTTAATCTTGTCAGGTAAGGGTATTGGTGTTTTTATGGTTTTTTTTTCTATTCTGACAAGCTAAGTTAGTTTTAGAAGTCAGGAATCTAACTCTCTACTGCCTTGCATCTTGTGCAGGTTTACATATGTCTGCAAAGAAGCCTATGAGCCTTGTTGGTTTAACTAACCTTAGTCATTGGGTGAGCTTCAGTGGAGTGTTAGCACCCATGTACTGTGTGATTGCCTCCTCCACTTCATCTCCTAGTTTGCTTCTGCTTTTATCTGAGCAACTGAGTATTTCTGAGTCACGATGAAAGATGGAAGATAAAAGGTGTGTGTTGTAGACACTGTGTTTGCCTCCATAGTGTAGTGGTTAGGGAACTTTGTGAATTTGAAATTAAGTTCCTGGTCTCAACAAATGCTTCTGTTTGCACAGTGTATCTTTTTCTTCTCTTCCTTTTAAGTAGTTTTCTCACAGCACTCAGTCAAAATGGTTTCATTTCAAACTTTAATTTCTTGGATTTTGCAAAGCTTGTAATTAACAACGCTAAATAGAAAAAAACTTTTTGAAAAATAGGACATTAATTGATCTTTTCAAGTTACCATATTAAAATACCTCCACATTAGAGAAAATCTACAAAGTGAGCCCATCATATGGTAGACAATTATAAGCACTGCAGACAATATAAGCAAAAACATACAAAAGATGAACTGACTCAAGCAAGGCACCTTGAACTGTGCTGTAGGATGTAGCATATTATTTAAGAATAAAAGAGGGTAAGTATTTAAAAAAACTACACAAATGATAAGAAATATCTCCCCTTGTGAGAGGCATCCTCATGGACTCTGCAGGAGTACTGCAGGGGAAGAGTACTGAGTTTCTGCAAGGTTTTCAGACAGACACTGCCTTTCACAGGGCTGATGAGTTTTCTTCAAAAAATCAAAGGGTTGGCAGCTTGGACCACAGGTAGCACTGCTTATGGGGACAATGCCTTTTCAGTCTCCTGATGGGGTCAGAGCAATACATTTTCTTTCATGTTTTCATAGCATTGGGCCATAAATGATTGCACACTTATATGAAAGCACTCATGAAAATCTGTAAATCAGGTTCCAGTGTCAGGGAAGTCACTATCCAGTGGTGCATTAGAAGATGAAAGAAATGGAGCAAGAACAATTTTTCATACACAATTTGAACCTTTTAAGAGCCTTTTGTGCTTGACAGCATTGCAGATATGACATGATGAGGATTGATCT